CACCTTTTTTGCTTTCACTGAAGCAACTTGGTCTATGATGTGCTCAAAGTTTCTTTTTTTTTAGTTTCTTCTCTTTCTACACTCAGCAGAACCAGATCACAGAGTCTGCCTTGACCCATGGAGGCTCTCAAATACGAAAGTATTAGTTTTAACTTGCTGAATGATCTCTCACAGCTGGCGATGGAAACTGTGATGGTTAGCATTATCTGAATAGCAATGCGAAGATTGGAGAAGATGCCCTCATCTCCGTACTGAACAATAAATTTGAGAAGCTCTTCAGATCTTGATATTTTCATGTTGGCCCAACTTGATAGCAACATTCTGAAATCCAAATTTCTTCATATAGCTGCTGTCCATCAACATCAGAGCTGTTCAATTCGCCCAAATGTTCGCACTTCTTCTTTTTGTCGTTAATGTCACTGCCATAACACAGTCCCTCGACATCGAGAAGAAATCCAAACTTGGCATCGGTGTCGTATAAACGAGTGAACCTTTCGTCCATTTCTCTGTGAAGACAGTCGAGTGTTCCCTTCATGACTCTTTTCCACTCCATTTCCTACTTGGCTGTTAACCCAGCGTCTCGAGAGTTCTCATCAGCCATTCGTTTCTTTCGTTTCTGACGTCTTTCAACTTCAATATTTCATTCTTGACAGAGACTGAGTGCTTCTTCGAGTGATTCATTGAACAACACTTCTCTTTCATCATCAAAATTATCTCTGAGGGCTTTCAAATCCAGGGCAGCATCGTGGAACTTTATGCTAAGATCCTGTAGTATCTTTTGAATACAGTCAATGCGAATGAGTACTTTGTTCCAAAATCCTAGCAAAGTAAAAAAATCGTAACTCAACATGCAGTTATACAGCTGCCTTGTGTCACTTCTTGTTTGACTGGTCTCGTTTTCAATGTCTATCATGTCCTGAAGAACTTGAAGTATCTCCTCAAGGTACTTGTTGACTGGCTTCACTGCTTCTGTCCTTGCACTCCACCTGGTTTTGGACTGTGACTTAACAACTACATGCACGGAGTTTTTGAGTTTTTCCCAGCATTGTGTTGAACGAGAGAAGAACACGTAGAGAGCTTTGATGATTCCAAAAAACGTGACCATCGTTGTATCCTGCTTGGCTGCATGTACACCCACCAAGTTGAGTGAGTGATTGTTGCAATTCACAAACACTGCCAGGTTGTTTTTCTCACTTATTCTTTGATGAACACCACTTCTGTGTCCAGCCATCACAGCAGTGTTGTCATAGCACTGTGACCGACAATCTTGTAGCTCCATTTCTTCCTTCTTTACTTGTTTCAAGATGTCTTCAACCAAGCTCTCAGCATCCTTTTGTCTTATCTGGATAAAACCAAGGAAGTTCTCTCTAACACGGACTGTTTTTGTCTCAAAATCAGCTACACGTACCTCACTACTTCTGACATCTGCTCATGGTGTGCTTGATCAGGAGTCGAGTCGAACATGAGACCATAGTACTTGGCTTTACGAATGCTTCTCAGTAAACTCTGGCAAACAGTGGATGCTATCATGTAGACGAATTCGTTCTGGACACCGAGTGAAAGATAAGACGTGGATCCAGGATGACTTTCTACACAAGTGAGTTGTTCTTTCATGACAGGGTCAAAGATGGCCAGTAGTTTCAGTAAGCCAAGGAAATTTCCCACATTGGAGTCATCGTTTAGCTGAAGTGACTCCCTGTGTCCTTGCAAAGCCAGGTTCTGAGTCGCAAGGCATTTTATGCAGTGAATGATTCTCGTCAAGATATTATGCCAATTCTGCTTTTCCTTCTCAATCTGTGACTGAAGTTCTGCATCAATAACTCCTCTGTTTTCAGCTAAATTTCTTTTCATTTATTTCCACTGTGTGAAGCACTTCCGTGATTCTTAGCATTTTCATGAACACTAATCCTTTCATGTGCTTTCCACTGGTTGAATCCACTTTCCTGCTCCAATGAGGATTGATGGCCTGACTGGGAATAGAGAAGACAACAGATACAAAATGCAGACTTTTTAGAAGGGGAATAGACCAGCCATGAGCAAGTCACTTCCTCACCATGACCATTTCCCAATTTCCTCTTGAACCAAGTTTTGTTCATTGAGTAGTTATTTGTTGGTAAGAAAGGCCCCTCACTGTTCTGGAAATACTTCAAACCCAGCTTTATCATTTCTGTTCTCAACATGTCAGGCAGAATTGCTTTTCTAGTATCCTTTTCAAACTTCAGAAGTCCAATGTCATGCTGTTCAATCACTTCTGGTATGGCAGTTTGAAGCTCTTTGACACCATTCAATTCACTAGGTTCGGTGTTGTAAGGTTCAATCTCGTCAGATAAAATCTCGTCAATAAACTCAACATCACCACTACCACCGTGTTCTCCTCCTGTCATATCCACATTCTCTCTGGCAGCCTCACTCTTAATCTCGGATTTATCTGTCTTGACTTTCTCCTTGGCTTGTGACGCATTTGTACTTGATCCACCTTCGGATTCTAACAAACTTGTAGCTGGTACAGGCGACTCCATGGAACGTGTCGAACTACTTGTTCCGGGCTTTTCAGAGAAGTGCATGAACAACTTGCTCAACTTCTTGGCTTCGTCTCCTCCACTTTCCTTCTTCTTCGTTAAGAAACGTTTCATGGTCTTCTTACTCAATGCTCTGAAATAAGGAAATGGCACTTTTAATAAGAACATTAAATTTCATAGATTTTGCACAAAATTCTGGACTACCTCCCTAGTTTGTGCAGGAGAATGGTCTTACTGCCAATTGGCACTGAGCAGTGGTACTGTGAGGTATGTGGTCATGTTGCTCCCAGCACTGTATTTTTATCTAATAATTTATATAAGTGGTTTAACAATCCGGCCATCCTAGTGCTTCACACCCATGGTAATCTGAGACAGATCATACATCTGAAGAAAATTATTTTTTCACTATTCGAGAATGGCTTGTCTGACTTTAGTAGAAACTGCTCAGTGGCGCCCTTCAAGTCGCGCCCAGGGTACGTGCCATACCTTAGGTACGCTACTATATAAAGAGGTTATAATTTCACTGTGCAGGTCACTGGTTAGGCCAAATTTGGAATATTGTGTTCAGTCTCGGGCTCCTTACCTTATGAAAGAAATTGAATTGTTGGAAATGGTTACTAGAATGGTGCCTGGGATGGAGGGGTTGTCATACGAGGAGAATCTGAAATCTCTCAAATTGTTTTCTCTTGAAAAAAGAAGAGTTGGGGGGGTGATTGAGGTGTTTAAGATTGTAAAGGGAATTGATAGTATTGATGTATCATCTTTTTTCATACTTAACAGTGAGAATAGTAGGACTATGGGACATAAATATAAATTTTGCCAAGGTAGGAGTCATCTTCAGCTAAGACAGTTTCACTTTTAGAATGGGTTGCCTTTGAATGTTGTAGAGGCAGTAAACTTAAGTGAGTTTAAGGAAAAAGCTTGACAAGTATAAGTATAATAAGAGCTGGCTTTAATATTTTTCTTTTTTTAATTTAGCTTAGATGATGGAACAGCCAATAGGTCTTATGTTGTCCCGACACAATATGTTAGGTATTAATCAGTTAGTTCTGGACATTTTTCAAAGTGAATGGTTATGTACAGTTTTAAGATTTGTCGATCAAAAAAAGGTTAAATCACTGACGGTTCAAAGACAATTTTCTTGTACTAAGAGGGAGCTCCAGTAGGGAAAGTTCTAACAACAAAAGTGTAATATCAAACTGTAATACAATTACTGTCAATCAACGAGAAAATACATGTTACTTATGAAATAAAAAACATCCAAAAAGGGTGATCCTCGTTAAAGCCACCTACTGTAAAATTCACAATAAGTAAAAGCAAAAAAAGTGAAAAGATAAACAATGAATAAAAACAAAAGATAAAATACTTGCAAATGAATATTTAAATAGCATTTTTTGTTATTTTAATGAAAATCAAGCACAATATCTTGTCCCTGTACACGTTTTTCGTGCTATTTTATCACTCACTTGAAGTATATCCCTTCCACAAGTATTACAGGATAATTATAATGGCTACATTATATGGTTTTAATAAGCATGCTCATACAAACTTCTATGTCAGGCAACTTTTATGGATGAAATTCATATAGGTATATATACCTGTACATATTTCCCAACATGTAATAAAACCATTTTATATACAAATTTTGCCAATATTTATTACATATTTAGAGCTTTGTAATTGGTAAAAGCTAAAATTCAACTGGATAATCTTTCAGCATATATGTGGCAACATATCTATTTCTTAACAAATACATTTAGTGAAACTATAATTTTTTGGAAGTACATGTAACATGTAACGATGTGTATTAATTCATTTAATAAATACATTTAGTGAAACTATAATTTATTGGTAGTACATGTAACATGTAACGATGTGTATTAATACATTTAATAAATACATTTAGTGAAACTATAATTTATTGGTAGTACATATAACATATAACGATGTGTATTAATTCATTTAATAAATACATTTAGTGAAACTATTATTGATTGGTAATACATGTAACGATGTTTTAATTCATTTAATAAATACATTTAGTGAAACTATAATTTATTGGTAGTACATATAACATGTAATGATGTGTATTAATTCATTTAATAAATACATTTAGTGAAACTATAATTTATTGGTAGTACATATAACATATAACGATGTGCTTTAATTCATTTAATAAATACATTTAGTGAAACTATTATTGATTGGTAGTACATGTAACGATGTTTTAATTCATTTAATAAATACATTTAGTGAAACTATAATTTATTGGTAGTACATATAACATGTAATGATGTGTATTAATTCATTTAATAAATACATTTAGTGAAACTATAATTTATTGGTAGTACATATAACATGTAATGATGTGTTTTAATTCATTTAATAAATACATTTAGTGAAACTATAATTTATTGGTAGTACATGTAACATGTAACGATGTGCTTTAATTCATATAATAAATACATTTAGTGAAACTATAATTTATTGGTAGTACATGTAACGATGTGTATTAATTCATTTAATAAATACATTTAGTAAAACTATAATTTATTGGTAGTACATGTAACGATGATGTGCTTTAATTCATTTAATAAATACATTTAGTGAAACTATAATTTATTGGTAGTACATGTAACATGTAATGATGTGTTTTAATACATTTAGTGAAACTATAATTTACTGGTAGTACATGTAACGATGTATTTTAATTCATGTAATAAATACATTTAATGAAACTATAATTGATTGGTAGTACATGTAACGATGTATTTTAATTCATGTAATAAATACATTTAATGAAACTATAATTAATTGGTAGTAAATGTAACATGTGTTTTAATACATTTAATGAAACTATAATTAATTGGTAGTAAATGTAACATGTAATGATGTGTTTAAATTCATCTATGTATCACCTATCGTTCCAAAGTTACCATTACCTTCAAAATTATTTTTGTGTTTTTTCAGGTATTATGTAATGCATTATGGTACGTTACCACTCAACATCAAGTTATAAATAAGGCTGCCCAGAGAAAAACACAAGTACAGCCAATTCCCACTAATTTTGAAAAGTAGTTAGGCTACAGTTATCACGAGAAACAGAATGCCAGCATCACAGTTACAATTTCATGGAGAGGCACTCTACATCTGTTGCAAAAGCATTTTATCAACATTCCTGCTTGGAAAATGGTGACGCATGTAGAAAAAGAGCCTATTGTGTATCGACCATATGGTCGTAAACATCATGTTATTCTCCAAGAGGTTCTGAAGTCCATATGGATGTGGTGTGTGCTCACACATCAAGTATCCAATACTAGTTACTCAGATTATTAAATACCTCATGTTACAAGATTATTCAGGTCTGTATCTTGTTTTGTTTATGGAAACTATCTATTTTTATGTTTGTTTGAATAAAATTTTAACAATGTTTAGTTAAATTTAAAAAATGACTCATGAGCTAACCTAACAAACCGAGCCATAAACATATCGAAATCATTTAGTCAGATTTGTACTCTGTTTTATATGTTCAGAACACATTCCATATCATAAAAGTATGTATAACCATGTGTCGTAATGTCAGGACAGTGTCAAAATGTATTCTGTGTATGACTTCATGTCTGTGCACTATAGTAACTGGGAGATGCAGCCAAACATCTAGGTTTTGACCTTGCCAAAATGAACCTCGCACATGAGTTACAGTTGATCCAAAATGCACAATCTCGACTTCTTTACATAACTTGCTGTTTGTGCTATGATAGTGCTTAGCATCTAGTACAATCTGATATATTACAATTGCATTTACACAATAAAAAATACTCCACCTACTTACCTTATTTTCAAGACGTATAAAGAAATGTCTACCTACCCGATTTTTTCTGCATGTAATAGGAAACAAAGCATTTTTGTTCTAGGCCTAACTAGTACATGTATTAACTTTATTCCAGCTTGAGATGTTCTCGTAGCAAACTTTTAAACTAGAGAAAGAAAAATTTTCCACATATTTAATTTATCTATATTTTGCTAAATATTCTTTTACCAACATTTCTCCATGTTTATTGAAAATATGTAGAATGCATTCATATAGATTTATTTAATACTTTTAACTGACGACAGGTGTAAGTAAGTTAGATATTTAATCGTAAAACCAATTTAAACATTATTTGCAGTTCTGTAACTTGATTTTTTCAGTCACATTTTGTAACTTAGTAATTTTTAATTACAAAACAAGATAGAGTACTCATACTTCTGATGTCAAAATAGTCTTCTGTCATTTAATTGGCTAGTTTAAATCAACCTTAGAACGATTATCAGGTGCATAAACATGAAAGTTAAAACTATCAGAATTAAAAGACATTGCTCTTATGATCATTACTGTAATACACAGTATAAGTTCCTCACTTAACAAACAGTTATTAGTGTTAATATCACGGTTCAAATACCCTTGTATAAAATACTTACAAAAAAAGTACACAATATAAAAGTTTTATCGAAGACAGTGGGTCTTACCTAAATGTTTCGACATTTTTTGTTGAGTCACAGACCCACCATCATTAAGGAGACATTTGTTAAAGCTGTTATGTTCAGTTTATTACTGTCACTATCTTTGTTTTAATTGCAAAAAAATGTATGACACACTCAAAGAACACTCATACAAGACTAAATTTTATTTCCAACAAACAGAATAAATCCAGTAATTTCAGGCAGAATCTTGCAAATATTTCTAGTAGAAATTAAAGTATTAAAACTGAAATTTTTTCACAGATCAATTTCTTGCGGTGTTACCCAGACTAATTATAGATCAGTGATGTGAATTGATTACATACATCATATAATATTTAATTCATATATGCACACTAAAATACACTAATGATTTGTTAATTTCAATAAAAAATAATGCTAATAAAAGCTAAAAAATAAAATAGTAATAATAATAATAACAGACTAAAGGTTTCCCTACAATAAGAATGCTGTCAGAGTCACCTGCAGTCCAGTAATCCATTTTCAAAAGTTTAATAAATCTAGGTTTAGCTACCTTTCACATTGGTCTTGTAGCTGTAGATTTCATAGCACAACTGCCATGTTAAATCACAAGAACTTAAGGATTGTTCTAACATATATGATCCTAATACTATCCTTAAACATCATGCTGCTTTAAAAGTTGGAATCTTATATCTCTAACATATGGATATCAATTTCATATTGTCTTGCTTGTTTTATTAACAAAAATTGCCTAATGATAGCCTTGGAAGTAATTTTGGCTTTGATTTTCACTTGAAAGAGTATGACAGGTTTATTAGAATTTTTTTAATTATGTAAAATTTATTTTAAAAACAAAGCAATTTAGATTATTTAAAAATTATGCCCTGTTGTGCTTCTCAAACTTAGGCCTCATTATGTTGAACTTAACTAAGTAAAGTTATGATTATTGAATGTATAACTCAACTTGAGATTAATTAATTAATTAATTAAGTTTTCCAATCATACAGATATGATTACAACATATTAAAGGTTATATGTACATTCAGCAGTAACATCAAATAAAGACTCATGATTTAAGTAGATATTTCTGCAATAAAAATATTGAGAGCAAGTAACAAGTCACTAAATCAGTATGGCTGTGTTGTGCTCTTGTATTACAAGAAGAAGTAGACAAATGAAAGCCAAATACATCAGCTGTTGTATTAATTTGGTCTATTCAGAAAAAGCATGCACCTTTTAAATTAAAACTGTATTTTCAGTTTCAAGTATCACAGTGAAGATTAAAAGCATAAAGTTTAAAATATAAATTGTTTTTTATTAAAAATATATTTATTTTCTGCGAGGAAAGAAAAAATATCACAATAATCAGATCAGAGATTTTTCACGTGGGAGACATATTTCTCTAGATCATTTGATAGCTAATGGTTCGGAAGGGGAGAAAAGCACCTAACTACTCGGATTCGTCCTCTATCGCCACATGAACAAACAGAGAGGCTGGGATAATGGGCTGAAAGCTCTTATCCATAAGATATACGTGTCTATAACCTAAAAGGTACATAGAAAATAAACGTTAGTAAAAAAAACTTGACAGCAAGATAAAATGCTGAAATTATAAAGAACTTTCTGAAGGTTGAAGGATATACAAACATGCAGAAAAAGGATGACGTTTCACATGATTTACATATACAATGTGTGTCAACAACTGATTCTTTTGCTACTATAAATGAATATAAAAACCTTAGTAATTCACAGATAAGTTGATACGTGACAGCACATAGGCTTGGTATTGTATAACTGAATGAACAAACAGAATTTTATACAATGTACAAAAATGGATAGGTTCCACAATATTCACCCTAATATTGAAAACTGTACACAAAATAATAAAAAAAAAGTTAGTAAAGTGTTTTCAAAAGATAAAAACGTAAAACTGATAATGCATAAACTGGTATCATCAATTATGTATTGAGCATATTTAGGAAGCACAAAATGATATAGTGATTACATACCTGGGGTGCATTATTTATCATCTATATACCGAGTGCATTGATAGATTTGGATGTTTTTATATATCAAAATTTTCTCTATACATTTTTAATAATAACATGATGGTAAGAAAACTGCTATATTTCACTCTTCCATATCTAGTAACAAATATATTTTATGTATATTCAAGTAAATGTTTCTAAGTGTTCATGGAGGCATTCTGCATGTCATTAGTGACAACCTTTTAAATTGGGTTTACAAAGGTTTCAAAATTTGCACTAATCTTCTATCTTAGACATAGATTACATACCACAGTGATTGTTTAACAGGCTTATTTTTAATTATTTCTGTTTCTGTGTCATGCCCTACTGAAGTGAGGTCATACTCATTTGGAAGGATGATACAGAGACTTGTACAAATTAGTATGAGTTTGGTCTGATTTAAGTGTGGTATTATCATTATTCTTGTTTTGGGAGTAGACTCATTTATTTTATGCCACGTGCCCTGTTGGATCTGTGGGAAGTAATCTTGATTGCTTGAATAAAAATGTACTTGCCCCACTAATAAATAAATGTAATAGAAAATAAGATACCATTTTCAAACCAAAATAATGCATGTTGTAACTGTACACACTATTTACCTTTCTAGATACAGAAATATGATATTTTACAGTATATTTGTTAGCCAGATTTAATACAAAAAAAAAGAAGCAAAATCCACTCAATCTAAATTCTGTGGTAAAGTGGAATTTGTAAGTGGATAAAAAACAAAAATAATACTGATTAAACTAATCAATCTCTCATTAGGACAGTTGAAGTGTCAGCAGCATAAA